GAGGTGTAATCCAAACTGAAGGCTGTAGTCTTTGATCTTCATCAGTAAGTGCTTCAAGTCCTCTTCACTTTCAGCAAGCAAGGTTGTGTCATCTGCTTAACGCAGGTTGTTAATGAGTCTGCTTCCAGTCCTGATGCCACGTTTTTCTTCACATAGTCCAGTGTCTCGGATTATCTGCTCAGCATACAGATTGAATAAGTATGGTGAAAGGATACAGCTCTGATGCATACCTTTCTTAACTTTAAACCATGCAGTATCCCTGTGTTCTGTTCGAATGACTGTTTCTTGGTCTAAGTACAGGTTCCTCATGAGCACAATTAAGTGTTCTGGAATTCCCATTCTCCCCAATTTTATTCATAGTTTATTATGATCCACACAGTCAAATGTCTTTGCATAGTCAATAAAACAGATAAACATCTTTCTGGTATTCTCTGCTTTCAGCCAAGATCCATCTGACATCAGCAATGATATCCCTTCTTCCATGTCCTCTTCTAAATCCGGCCTGAATTTCTGGCAGTTCCCTGTTGATGTACTATTGCAACTGCTTTTGAATGATCTTCAGCAAGATTTTATTTGTGTGTGATATTAATGATATTGTTTGATGATTTCTGCATTCTGTTGGATCACCTTTCTTTGGAATGGACACAAATATGAATGTCTTCTAGTCGGTTGGCCAAGTAGCTGTCTTCCAAATTTCTTAGCATAGATGAGTAAGCACCTCCAGTGCTACATCCGTTTGTTGAAACATCTCAGTTGGTATTCTGTCAATTCCTAGAGCCTTGTTTTTAGCCCTTTCCTTCAGTACAACTTGGACTTCTTCCTTCAATACTACCAGTTCCTGATCATATGCTATTTACCTCCTGAAATGGCTGACCATCAAGCAGTTCTTTTTGGTACAGTGATTCTGTGCATTCCTTCCATCTTCTTTTGATGCTTCCTGCGTCGTTCAGGATTTTCCCCGTAGCGTCCTTCAGTATTGCAACTCGAGGCTTGCATTTTTTTCTTCAATTGTATCAGCTTGAGAAATGCCGAGCATGTTCTTCCCTTTTGGTTTTCCAACTCCAGGTCTTTGCACATTTCATTATAATACTTTGTCTTCTCAAGCCGCCCTTTCAAGTCTTCTGTTCATCATTTTTTTACTTCATCATTTCTTCCTTTTGCTTTAGCTACTCGACGTTCAAGAACAGGTTTCAGAGTCTCTTCTGACATCCATTTTGGTCTTTTCTTTCTTTCCTCTCTTTTTAATGACCTTTTGCTTTCTTCATGTATGATGTCCTTGATGTCATTCCCCAACTTGTCTGGTCTTTGGTTGTTAGTGTTAAGTGTGTCAAATCTGTTTTTGAGATGGTCTCTAAATTCAGGTGGGATGTACTTAAGGTCATATCTTGGCTCTTGGGGACTTGCTCTAATTTTCTTTAGTTTCAGCTTGAACTTGCATCTGAACAGTTGATGGTCTGTTTTGCACTTGGCCCCCGGCCTTGTTCTGACTGATGATATTGAGCTTCTCTATCTCTTTCCACAGATGTGTCGATTTGATTCCTGTGTTCTCCATCCAGTGAGGCCAACGAGTATAGCCGCTGTTTATGTTGTTGAAAATAGTTGGTATTTGCTATGAAGAAGTCGTTGGTCTTGCAAAATTCTGTCAGTTGATCTCTGACATCATTTCTACCACCAAGGCCATATTTTCCAGCTACCAAGACTTTCCTTCTTCTTTGTTTCTGCCTTTGATGTTCCAATCCCCAATGATTATCAGTGCATCTCGATTGCATGTTTGATCAATTTCAGATCCCAAAAATTGGCAAAAATTTTCAATTTCTTCATCTTTGGCATTAGTGGTTGGTGAATAAATTTGAGTAATAGTGGTATTAACTGGGCTTCCTTGTGGGCGTATGGATATTATCCTGTCACTGACAGCATTGTACTTCAGGATAGATGAGGAGTTGAGTTCATCAGGATGGATGAAGGTTGCGTGCCTTCCAACTTGAGGGTCTCATCTTCAGGCACTATTCCAGACAATGTTCCGCTGCTATTCTTGGATTTTCACTAGCCAGTTCTTTTCAGAAGTAGATCACCAGGTCTTTTTTGCCTACTCCATCTTAGTCTGGAAGCTCCACTGAAACCTGTCCACCATGGGTGACTCTTCTGGTATTTGAAATACTAGTGGCATAGCTTCCAGCATCACAGCAACATACAAGCCAGCACAGTATGACAAATTGACAGAGGAGTGGGGTATTATTTCCTAGGTTTTAAAATTACATCTTAATCAGTCTTCTTTCAGGTAATCACTTCACATGTAGTAGAAGAACCTTACAACATATACTCCTGTTCATTTTGCTTCCTCCTCTCCCTCTTTTGTGGTATTGCTGTCAGACATTTTACTTTTATAGATACTATAAACCCACAATACATTGCTACTATTTTTGCTTTAAATAGTCAATTATTTTTAAAGCGATTGAAATTTAGGCAAATTTTTTTCTTTTATTTTTGCCTTAATCTTAACCATTTCTGAAGATCTTTGTTTCTTTATGTAGATCCATGTTTCTGTCTGGTTTCATGTTCCTACTCCATGAAGAACTTCTTTTAACATTTCATGTAGAGAAAGTCTTACGGTAACAAATCCTCTTAGATTTTGTTTGACTGAAAAAGTTACCATTACACTTTCATTTTGAAAAATATTTTTGCTGAGTATTAAAGTCTGGCTTCACAGTTGTGTCAACAGTTTAAAGATGGTTCTCCATTGTCTTCTGGCTGGCATAGTTTCTGATGAGAAGTCTGCTGTCATTCTTTTTCATTGTTCCTCTGTATGGAATGTGTCTTTGTCCTCTGGCTGCCTTCAACAATTTTTCTTTTACTTTTGTGTTTAGTCATTAGAATATGATGTGTGTAAGTGTGTGTATAGTTCTTATTTGTGGGTAATTATTCTGCTTGGGGTCCTCTGAGAGTCTTGAATTTGTGTAGCTCTCTTTGTGCTTATCTTGTTTGAGTTTTGTGGAAGGAACTTCTTGGTTCTGTGGGTTTATGGTTTTCATCAGATTTGGTCATTATTTCCTCGTGGCCCCCATTACCACTTGCCCCGCCCTCTCTAGCTGTGTGCAGTGGGGAGCTGGTCTTGGCTCCATGGTGTCTGGGCCTCATTTGTGCGGGGGGGGGGGGACCTTGACTGATGGGGGCTGGAATCTTCTGGAGAAGTCCACACGCACATGATGGCACCTGTCCCCATCACCGCTCTGTCCCGTCTGTCCTGACTCTCTAAGAGATGCCTCAGTCCCGGCCCATCTGTGTGTTTCTGCCTGGAAAGTTGAGAGCTCCTGTGCTCCTTTGCATCCTCACACCATTGTCCCCTGCCCCCACTTTCTCCATGTGCCCCAGTGCTGTGCATGGCTCGGGGCTGGACCTCTTTTGGGTGGTGAAGGTGCCGAACCAGTAGGGCTCGGGGCTCCACAGTTGCCGCCGTAGCTGCCTACGTTGGGGTAGCTAGTGTGGGAGGGGTAGGCAGAGGTGGTCCCGTGATGGCAGGTTCTGGGAAGCCTTATCCCACAGCTGGAAGTCCACTTGCGATGGGATTCACCTCTGTCCTCTCTCCCCTTCTCCATGCTCTGTCTGCTTTCTCCTCTGCCATGTCCCTCCCTCGCCGTGTGTTTCTGTACGGCCCCTCCTTGTCCTTGTCTCTCTGGGCCTTCCTCCATCCTTGTCATTGTCACTCTCCTCTCTTTGTCTCTCTGTGCCTCCTTTCCTTCTGCCTTCTTCCCTCCTGTTGCCTGCATCTTCGTGGCCTCCCTGCCCTCCTTTCTGTCCCCATCTTTCTGTCCTTCCCTTCCTGCTTCTCCCTATCTGCACTTCTCCTTCTTGGTTCTTCTGCCCTGCATCCCTGCCCTCCCCGGCCAACCCCTGTCCCCGCCCCTCTTGCCCACCAGGCACACAGTGCAGCAGGAGACCAATGCAACCATTGCGGCCAGCACCAGCACCATGAAGCAGCTGTCAGAGCTCCTGCGTGGCTCCTCCCGGGTATGTCCCCTGGAGACCCAGACCACAGGCAAGGAGAGGGGCATCACCTTGGAGGAGAAGCCCCTGGGGCTAGGGGTCTGGCAGAAGGGTGATGGTGGGAGATTGAGGGGCAGAATATTGTTCTGGGCTGGGGCTCTGTTGAGGTCACTGCTTGGATCCAACCCCTGTGTGCAGTACTTCATGCAGTCACTGTCCATGGAGTGCTGCCCCGGGCTGTGGAGAGAGGGGGCTGCACAATGGGGCCCCCACTTAGTGGGCAGACGTTTTAGAGGGGAAAATGATGTGCCTCTGAATGCGGGATCAGGGGCACCCCCACCTGCCATCACCCCACCTCTGCTGCTGCCACTGCAGCTTGCACCCTGCCACCTCCCCATGCCGCCCACCTCCACACCAGGGTCATCTGCCACCACCCCACACTGCCCCCCTCCACACCAGTGCCACCTGCCACCTCCCCATGCCACCTCCCCATGCCACCTATCTCCACACTAGTGCCACCTGCCACCTCCCCATGCCACCCACCTCCTGGCTGTCCACCTCCACACCAGTGCCACCTCCAAACGCCCCTCATGTCAGGACAGACTGTGTCACCACTGCTGTCATTACCTGCACTATTAGGTCACAGACCCCATTGCCACGGTCACGCTTGTCACCGTGCCCACTGCCACCCTCACACCCATGATGCCTTGCAGCCCCTTCACTGTGACCCCACCCTGCCTCCACCAACGTAGCCACTTTCACCCATGCCAGGTGCGGTGCAGCCCTGCCCTTGTCTACACGCCACCCAATCCTGAGATCACCGTGCGCTTGGCACCCAAGATTACATACTGTGAAACCTTGAAATGTTTAGAGCAGGGGTCAGTGGGATGCAGCCCACGGTCCTGCCACCTGTTCTCATGAACAGATTTCCACGGGCACAGCCACGCCCGCCCGTGACACACGTATCCACGTGGCCGCTTTTGTGCTACGACCGCAGAGCTGAGTCGTTGCGACAGAGACCATCTGGTCTCAAAGGCTAAGATGCTCACTCCTTGGCCCTTTGCAGAAGTTTGCCGACCTCGGGTATAGAGGATCTGTCTTAGCCATCTAGCGCTGCTATAACAGAAATACCACAAGTGGATGGCTTCAACAAAGAGAAATTTATTTTCTCACAGTCTCGTAGGTTACAAGTCCAAATTCAGGGCGTCAGCTCCAGGGGAAGGTTTTCTCTGTCAGCTCTAGCGGAAGGTCCTTGTCCTCAACCTTCCCCTGGTCGAGAAGCTTCTCAGGCACAGGGACCCTGGGTCCAAAGGGCACGCTCTGCTCCCAGTGCTGCTTTCTTGGTGGTATGAGGTCCCCAACTCTCTGCTTGCTTCCGTTTTCTTTTATCTCTTGAGAGATAAAAGGTGGTGCAGGCCACACCCCAGGGAGACTCCCTTTACATTGGATCAGGGATGTGACCTGGGTAAGGATGGTGTTACAATCCCAGCCTAATCCTCTTTGATGTAAAAGAACAATCACAAAATGGAGGACAACCAGAGAATGGTGGGAATCATGGCCTAGCCAAACCGATACACACATTTTTTGGGGGACACAATTCAATCCATGACAGGATCCAAAAGTGAGGTTCATCCGTACACTGGGGTGCTATTGAGCAAGAAAGAGGAGTGAAGCACAAATACAGCAACAACAGGGATGGACCCCAAAACTTCACACCCAGTGAGAGAAGCCAGATGAGAAGACCATACATTGCAGTTACATTGAGCTGCAGTGCCCAGAAAATGCACCCACAGGCAGCGAGCAGACGAGCTGGCAGTGGGAGGGGGTCTACCGCAGAAGGGCCCAAGGGAACTTTTGGGGTGACAGAAACACCCTAAGACTAAGTTGTGGTGATGACTGTACAACTGTAGAAGTTTATGAAAAGTTACTGAACGGTGTGCTTACAGCGGAGGGCTTGTGGGGATGTGCGTTCTCCTTTAATAAAGCCATCGGAGGGAAAGCAGACCCAGCTCCCCACGTCATGTCACAGGTGGATAAATCAGACACTAAACAAGGGCGTGAGGGCAGGAGCGGTTCTCCGGGGGCCACGGGCGGACGGTGCCCCAGTCTGAGACCGAGGGAAGCACGGCTGCTGTGCTCTGCTGGCTGCTGCGGCCCGGCGTGGGATGTAGCCTTCTGAGCGGAGGGGCGAATGCTCCCCTGGTGCTGGACCCGGGTGGGATGGCTGTGGCTCGTAATAGAAGGGCATCGTTGTTGTTGTGTGCTGTCGAGGGGATGCCCACGCGTAGTGACCCCGTGGGACAGAGTGGAGCTGCCCCCTAGGGTTTCCTAGGCTGAGGACTTTACAGAAAGCAATGGCCAGGTCTCTGTTCCCCGGAGCCGCTGGATAGGTTTGAACCGCCGACCTTTCGGTTAGCAGCCGGGTGATTCACCGTCTCTCCAGCAGGGCTCCTTCTGGGCGACATGACGGTCAGCGTTTGCTGAGGGTCGGCAGGGTTGGTGTTCGTGTGGCCTGTCCGTGGGCACGTCTGTTCTCTGTCCTTTGACTTGTTCACCTGTTCACTCGCTCACAATGTTTACTGAGCACCTGTGACATGAGGTGCGGGGCCAAGCCCCAAAGTATGGTGGGCTGTGATTCCGAAAGGTGTTTCTGTAGCACAAGAACAATCTAGTCAAGCGTGTGGTTTTCCAGTGAAGTTCATTACGGATCTGTTCAATTCAGAGGGCACTTATTAAGTGCCAACTGTGTCTTCAACTTTGTAGGGGTGTAAACACATGGATGGAGTCCCTGGGTGGTGCAAATGGTTAATGTGCTTGGCTGCTAACCAAGAGGTTGGAGGTCCGAGTCCACTCAGAGACACCACGGAAGAAAGGCCTGGCAATCTACTTCTGAAAGATCAGCCATTGAAAACCGTATGGAGCACAGTTCTACTCTGACACACATGGGGTTGCCGTGAGTCAGGGTCAACTTGACGGGAGCTGGTTAAACACCTAGATAAGAAGTGGTCCCTTACACTGTGGAACAAAGTCAAGTGTAAGAGTAGCCGCCCGGCCGTGGGAGGTTCACTCCACACAGGCCCTCTCACCTTGGGAGGTTCACCTCACACCAGCCCTCCCACCTTGGGAGGTTCACCCCACACTGACACGGTGCTAAACCTTCACTAGTCCTCCTGGCAGTGCCACTGGCTAGGGACCTGGCTTAGTTCCTTAGTGCTGCTGTAACAAATACCACAAAGGGGTGGCTTTAACAGACAGAAATTTATTTTCTCACAGTTTAGGAGACAAGAGGTCCAAATTCAGGGTATCAGCTCTAGGGGAAGGCTTTCTCTCCCTTTCAGCTCTGGAGGAAGGTCCTTTGCAGCTTTTGTTCCTTGGTTCCTTGATGATCTTCATGTGGCATCTCTTCCCCCATGTCTGCTTGCGTTTATGCCTAATCTGCTTTTTTCATATCACAAAGGTGATTGGCTTTAAACATACCCTACACTGATAAGAGTCTCAATAACACAAAAAAACCCTCTTCCCAAATGGGATTACACCCACAGGCATAAAGGTTAGGATTTATAACACATAATTTTTGGGCGACTCAATTCAGTCCATAGCAGGGCCCTCACCCCCTTCTTACAGGGAAGGAAGCTCGGAGCATGACATGTCCAGGCCCTCACAGTCAGGAGCAGCCCTGGCTTGGCTTGAACCCGTGTCTGCCCGGCCCAGAGCCCATGGTCTTGGAAGCTCTGTGCACCATGAGGGCAGTGGCAGTGTATCGTGAGTTCCTCGGGAGCTCAGAGGGATCACTGTCAGCCAAGCTCACCCATCCATCTGCTCACCCACCCATCCAAGAAACTAGCAGACAGTTCTCAAACACAGCTCCAAGCCAGATGTGGGAGAAAGAGACCTCTTTGAGCTCCCACAGCCTTGTGGGAGGACAGAATGTAAATTAGGAAGCATCCATTGTTATCAGAAAGTTCCTCAGGGGTTGTGCAGGCCATGTGGGGGCTCAGTGGCAGGGGGAGACTTTCTGCATGTCTGGCCCAGGAAGGCTTCCTGGAGGAGGTGACATTGAATTGCGTCTTAAAGCCGGGTGGCACCCCACAAACAGTGAAGGAGGGGAACATAGGTGTGGGGGCTTAGCAGCTGCCTGAGCGTCATCTGGGCTCAGCAAAGGCCTGCAGGATGCTGTGTGAGCCGAAGAGGATGTGGGTTCAAGGTATAATGACTAATAAAGGCAGCGTGTGTGTGTGTAAGGCTATTGGAAGAGGAAGGCAGGAGGCTGGTTATAGCCACTTCCAAAGGGGAAACTGAGGGAGGCTTCCCAGGTTGTCTGGGTTTGAATCAGACCCAACATAGCAGGCACTCAGTACCTGTTTATTGCATTGGAGAATGAATGAGTGGATGGATGAGTGAATGAATGAATGAATGAATTCTCATGAGTGGAGAGTGCTGAGAGCCCCTTCCAGGTGGAGGAAGGTACGGGGAGGGTGATCATGGTGCAAGGGCACACAGTGAGCAGTCCTGGGCACATGGGGTGCTAATTACAAGGGCACACGGTGAGCAGCCCTGGGCACACGGGGTGCTAATTACAAGGGCACACAGTAAACAGCCCTGGGCACACGGGGTGCTAATTACAAGGGCACACGGTGAGCAGCCCTGGGCACACGGGGTGCTAATTACAAGAGCATACAGTGAACAGTCCTGGGCACACGGGGTGCTAATTACAAGGGCACATGGTGGGCAGTCCTGGACATGCAAGGTGCTAATTACAAGGGCACAAAGTGAGGAGCCCTGGGCACATGGGGTGCTAATTACAAGAGCACATGGTGAGCAGCCCTGGGCACACGGGGTGCTAATTACAAGGGCACACAGTGAACAGTCCTGGGCACACGGGGTGCTAATTACAAGGGCACACGGTGAGCAGCCCTGGGCACACGGGGTGCTAATTACAAGGCCTCATGGAGCTCTGGAGCTCTGCAGAGCTTCAGCTACATGGAAAACCACTTGAGCCATATGCTGCAAGCATGGTAAAAGGCGTCCATAGAAAGGCTTATCCCATTCTGACGTGACCTGTTGGCTTGCCCACCTCCACCCTCATTCTCATCCATGTGGTGAATAGTGGGTGCGTGGTGACGTGGAGGGACAGAGTCCAGGCTGGGCCTCCCCAGAGGCATCCCTGGCTGGGAATAGGCGTCCCTGTGATTTGGGACCCAGGATCAGGGGAGTGGCCCCTCCCAGGGGATCACAGGAGATGCTGGGACGAAGAGGGGGCTAGGATCTATGTCTGGGTCCACGTTCGAGGAAACTGGGGACTGGCATGGCCTCGTTTGTGCTGGTTCTGTGTGGTGAGAGACGAGGCTGGGGCTCCCAACAGTCCATTGATGCTCGTAGAAAACCAGAGCAGGCAGAGCCAGCTTCCTTATGATTCCTTGAGTACCAGCTGTGTGCCCAACTTCATTCTGGGCACTGGGATGCGGTGGGGACCAAGACAGATGTGACCCCTTCCAGCAGGGAAGGCGTGGGGTGGAGAAGTGGAGGCAATGAGGAGTTGGAGGGAGGTTGGATGGTGAGATGTGGTGATGGGAGGGATGGTTTGTTGATTGCAGTTCTGATGGTCAGGGGCCTGGGGTCAGGGCCTTGCTCCACCACCTGTGCAGCCTTGAACAAGCCACTTAGAACTGGGGGCCAAGGTCTGCTGAGCTGCACTGGGGGGGTGCTAGTTCTTATCTAACAGGGTAGTTGTGGGGTTAGACATGTGTCACGTGCTCAGAGGAGTACTGCTGGTGAAGAGGTGTGTGTGGAATTGAGTGGTGACGGTGTCTGCGGTGGTGCTGGCTGCGCCTGCGGAGCTGCTCCGGTGATGGAACTGATGGTAATGGGGGTGATGAAGTAGATGGTCAGGAGCCTAATTCTGACAGTGGGGATGGTGATGATGGTGGGAGGCTGGTGATGGATGGAGAAGGCTTGGTGTAGGCACAGCCAGGAGGGACAGAGGTGCACAAGGAGAGTTGGGAACTGAGGCATACCCCAGGGTTGGAGGGGGCTGTGGGAGGCAGACCAGTCCTCAGCTTCCTATTTAAGCCACACTTCTATCTGCAGCAGGAGCGTCTTCAGCTGGACCGCCTGAAAAATCAGCTGTCAGATGCCATTCAGCGCTACGGAGTCGTGCAGAAGGTGAGGCCCCTGCAGGTAGGGGTCTCAGGTCAGGCCAGGTAGGGATGGAGCCCCAGTCCCTTGAGTACCCACTCTGGCTGCCTCATCCCTGGGCTGGCCCCAGAGCAGGGGAAGGTACCAGTCTTTGGGCCTCCTACAAATAGGGGGTCGTTTGTCCTTGGCATGTGTAGTAAAGGAACTTCACCTTCTGAAGTCCTCCCCAAGAGGCTATCTCACAACAGCCTCCTGGGAGGTGGAAGAGCAGGTATCACCTGTTCGGGCAGGTGAGGAAACTGAGACCCAGAGAGCTTAAGCGCATCGATGGAGGCCGTCTAGCAACTCATGGGCAGAACGTAGTCAAGAGCCCAGTTTTCCTGAGACCCAGGACAGTTGCTTTCTCTCAGGGAGCCAAAGGTGTGTTTTGCTGCCGTTCAGTGTCCAAAAGCTTGTGTTTATCTGACCGTTTCTTCTCTCCTCCCCACCTTGTTTTGTTCTTCCTATTTCCCTTCCCTTGTACTTTTTCCAACAGAAAATTGCGGAAAAATCCAGAGCACTGCTTCCCACAGCGCAGAGGGGTGGCAAACAGGTGGGTGATGAGTATTTACCATGGTCAGTGGGTGTTAGGGGACAGCACAGAATCCATTGCCATTTGTGCTCTAGGGAAGAGCAGGAAGGACCGAGGGCAGGGGCCCTGTCTGAGGAGGTTTGCTTGGACAAATAACCTCTTAAAAATTGGCATTTTGACCTTAGGTCTCTAGCACAAGGCCTGACACAGGGTAAGCTTCCCAGTAATGGTTGGCAGTTTCACTGCTATAAAGGACTGACTTGTACCAGACTAACATTCCTGTCAAGAACAAACTATACAACTCGGATTAACATACATACACGCACACACACACGCACGTGCACACACACACACACACAACAGTTTGAACACATCAGAGAGGAAGCAAGGCAGCCAGGTCTTGATAGGCAAAGATTCCAAAAAAACGGGAAATGTGCACTGAGATGAGCACTGTGCTCGTCACCACTTCCTTCCCACCCCCTGGGCATTTTATGATTTGTGTCTCAGCATGTTGAGACTGAACAGAAGGTGATGTCCTGGAGCTTCAGCAGTCTTGGGCTGAGGAGACAAAAATTAGAGTTCAGGGCTCCTAAGACAGCCAACACTGAAGGAATCAAAATTCTGGAGAAAAATGATTATAAAACTCTGTGTGCAATTTCCCCTTGAGATAGATAGTTGCTGATTCATTAGGTCTACAGGCGTGTTGTGAGAGGCCAAGAGACCAAGCAAAAAGCAGTTCCCAAGAAGTTAAACAGAGATTGAGGCACTCAGGATGCTAAAGAGACAAAAGTTAGAGTTCAGGGCCCATCAAGTAAGAGGGGCTCTTTTAAACACCACCAGGTTTCAGATGAGACCCTGAAGGGAGTAAGATAAACCAGAAATAGACCAGCCCTCACAAAACCTGAAACACAACTTTGAATCATATTCGTCTCTGTCTGCCTGAAGACAAAGGAATCCTCCCTGGAGAAAAAGTCCATCATCTTGAGCCACTATATTTATTCATACACAATGTCTGGCATTTAATCCAAAATTACTAGGTATACCAGGTAAGAGGATTGAATTATTAAAGCCAAGAAAAAAAATGATTGAGTAGAAACTGACCTACAGGTGATTCGGATATTGGAGTAATCAGACATGTACATTAAAATAACTATTATTCATATGTTAAAGAAAATAGATGAAAAGAGATTTTCACCAGAGAACTTAAATCTTAAAAAAAAAAAAAAAATGTAAATTCTAATATTGAGCAATACTAGAATGGAAAAATAACTAAAATTAAGAATTCAGTAGATTGGTTAAATAGCAAATTAGACACAACAGAAGAAAGACTTAGTGAATGAGAAGGTATGGCATAAGAAAACACCTATACTGAAAACAGAGGGAAAAAAAGGTAAAAAATCTAGGAAAGAGTATAATTGGAGCCCTACATTAACGAGAGAGAGAATGGGTAGATGCAATATTTGGAAAGATAATGGTAGAGAATTTTTGAAAACTATCCAAATATTTCAAGCCACAGAAGGAGCTCCATGATAAATAAGATAAATACAAAGAAAAATACCCTTAGTCACATGGTAATAAAAATTTGAAAATCAAAAACAAAGAGAAAATTTTAAAAGCAGATTAAAGCCAGAGGAAAAGTCCTATTATTTGTAAAGGGAGGAGAAGATGGACACCTGACTTCTTAAAAGAAACTGTGGAAGCTAGAAGACAATGGAAAGACCTCTTTAAAGTGTTAAAAGAAAATAACTCCCAGCTTAGAATTCTACATCTGGTGAAAATATTCTTCAGTAATCAAGGTGACGTGAAAAGATTTTTAAAGAAGCAAAAACTGAGAGAGTTTATCATTAACAACTCTCTGAAGTGGAAAAAGAAAAATTATCACAGATGGAAGTACAGTAAAATGTCAATTCAACCAGAAGACGTAGAATCCTAAATGTGTATGTACCTAATAACTTAACCTCAAAATATGCAAAGCAAAAATTGACTAAAAGAAAAATAATAAATCCACAGTCATAGCTGGAAATTTTAGCATGTCTTACTCTAAGTTATTGATAAAACAAACAGACAAAAATGCAAAAGAGTTCGGCAATACTATTAATCACCTTGACCTAATTGATATTTATGACACCGTAGCCAGCCACTAAAGAATATATATTTCTCTCAAGATGTAAGGGTTGGGCAGGAAAAAACAAACTGTGCTTCGCAGACACCGTGATTGTGTGTATAGAAGATTTGAATGAATCTGTAGATGGACCACTAGAATTAGTAAGTGAAGGTAGCAGGATTACTGGTGCTGGGTCAGTGTACAAGAAGACATTGTATATGCTAGCAAAAGACAATTTGGAACTGAAATTTAAAAACAGATACCATTTATAGTAGCATCAGAACTAGGATGAAATCTATGAACAGGTGTGTAAGGACTCTACATCAAAAAACTACAAAACATTGCTGAAAGAAATTAACGAAGATCTATACTAAGTTGTACTGAAGCATTAGCAAAAAATAAGGCTCCAGGAATTGACCAATACCAATTGAGATGTTTCAACAAATGGATGCAGTGCTGGAAGCACTCACTCATCTATGCCGAGAAATTTGGAAGTCAGCTATCTGGCCAACCAACTGGAAGACATCTGTATTTGTGCTCATTCCAAAGAAGGGTGATCCAACAGAATGTGGAAATTGTCTAACAATATCATTAATATCACACACAAGTAAAATTTTGCTGAATATCATTCAAAAACTACTGCAGCAGTACATTAATGGGAACTGCCAGAGATTCAAGCCAGATTCAGAAGAGGACATGGAACCAAGGATATCATTGCTGATATGAGATGGATCCTGCCTGAAAGCAGAGAATACCAGAAAGATGTTTACCTGTGTTTCATTGACTATGCAAAGGCATCCAACTGTGCAGATCATAACAAATTATGGATAACATTGCAAAGAATGGGAATTCCAGAACACTTAGTTGTGCTCATGAGGAACCTGTGCATAGACCAAGAAGGCGTTTTTGGAACAGAACAAGGGGATACTGCTTGGTTTAAAGTCAGGAAAGGTGTGCGTCAGGGTTGTATCCTTTCACCATACTTATTCAATCTGTATTCTGAGCAAATAATCAGAGAAGCTGGGCTACGTGAAGAAGAACGGGACATCAGGATTGGAGGAAGACTCATTAACAACCTGCGATATGCAGATGACACATCTTGCTAGCTGAAAGTGAGGAGGACTTGAAACTCTTACTGATGAAGATCAAAGACCACAGCCTTCCAACATAAAGAAAACAAAAATCCTCACAACTGGATGAACAAGCAACATCATGATAACCGGAGAAAAGATTGAAGTTGTCAAAGATTTCATTTTACTTGGATCCACAGTCAACACCCATGGTAGCAGCAGTCAAGAAATCCAACGACATATTGCATTGGGCAAATTTGCTGCAAAAGACCTCTTATAAAGTATTAAAAACCAAAGATACCACATTGAGGACTAAGTGTGTCTGACCCAAGCCATGATATTTTCAGTCGCCTCATATGCATGTGAAAAAGCTGGACAATGAATAAGGAAAACTGAAGAATAATTGACACATTTGAATTACAGTGTTGGTGAAGAATATTGATTGTACCACAGATTGCCAGAAGAGCAAACAAATCTGTCTTGGAAGAAGTACAGCCAGAATGCTCCTTGAAAGTGAGGATGGCAAGACTTCATCTCACGTACTTTGGACATGTTATCAGGAGGGACCAGTCTCTGGAGAAGGACATCATGCTTGGTGAAGTAGAGGGTCAGTGAAAAAGAGGAAGACCCTCAAAGAGATATATTAACACAGTGGCTGCAACACTGGGCTCAAGCATAACAATGATTGTGAGGATGGCGCAGGACTGGGCACTGTTTTTTTCTGTTGTACGTAGGGTCGCTGTGAGTCAGAACCGACTTGACGGCACCTGCCAACAATAACAACACCATTTTTACAGACTGGCTCTTACCAGATGGATCTGTAGCTTCAATACAAATAAAATAAAAATCACAGCAGGTTTTGAGAGTGTTTGTGTGTACACGTGAACTGTCAAGTTGATTCTAAAATGTATATGGAAATATATTGTTGTTCGTTGCCGTCAAGTAGATTCTGACTCATGGTGACCCCTCGTGTGGAGAGTAGAACTGCTCCATAGGGTTTTCAAGGCTATGACCTTTTGGAAGCAGATTGCCAGGCCCTTTTTCTGAGATGCCTCTGGGTGGGTTCGAACTGCCAGCCTTTCATCTAGTAGGTGAGCGCTTAACCCTTTACACAACCCAGGGGCTGCTATATGGAAATATAAAGGACCCAAAATAGTGAAGACAATTTTAAAAAAGAACAAATCTGGAGGATTTACACTGCCAGGTATCAGAACATAATATAAAGCTACAGAAATTAAAACAGTGTGTTAGACAAGCAGGCCAGAAGGAACAGAACAGAGCTCAGATGCAAACCTACACGTTCATGATCATCTGGTTTATGACAGAGCTGCACGTCCATCATGCAGTGGGATACAGATGGTTTCTTCAGGAGTGGGTACTGGATTCACTGAATATCTGTACTGGGGAAGAAAGGTCCTTTGCCTTGGCCTCACTCCATGCACAAAACCCACTTCCAGCTAGATCGTAGACCTAAATGTGAATGTTAAGACAATAAAGCTTCTAAAGATAGCATAGGAGGCTGTCTTCACATCTTTACGGTAGGCAGATTTTCTTACATACACGCAAAAGCACTAATCATAAGGAGAAACACGGCTAAACCAGACTTTGTTAAAATTAAGACACCATTCCCATTGCTGTCAAGTCGATTCTGACTCATAGCGACCCTATAGGACAGAGTAGAACTTCCCCATAGGGTTGCCAAGGAGCAGTCAGTGGATTTGAACTGATGACCTTTTGGTTGTCATCTGAGCTTCTAACCACTGTGCCACCAGGGCTCCAAGACACCATTAAGAGAGCAAAAAGTCTACCAACAGATTTGAGAGAAGATATTTACACAACTCATATCT